AGTTTCTCCACCAACTAATTGTGTCAGTTTGTTCATCAACTCCTCTAAGACTGGCAGCTGTTGCAAAATTTTAATTTAATTTTGTGCGTTGACGCCATGAGTTATTTTTTCCTGTTTAGTGGGCGTGTACCAACTATGAAGTAGGCACGTGCAAGTTGTGTAGTGGACAAGTGGTAATTTGGACAAGTGGTATCCAAAATTGTTTGGTAGATGGATAAAATTTGAGGTGAAGAATAAATCCATCCATTTTCGATACCGCTTATCCTTATGTGGGTGAGCTGGAGCCTATCCGAGCTGAATGGTTCAAAACAAGAAAATATCTTTTGTTGTTATGCACAAGGCGGCATGGTGATTGAGTGGTGAGCACATCCGCCTCACAGTGTAGAGGTCGTGGGTTCGAATTCAGTGTGTGGAGTTTGCATGTTCTCCTCGTGTCAGCGTGGGTTTTCCCCAGGTACTCCCGTTTCCTCCCACGTTCCAAAAACATGCATGGCAGATTAATGGAACACTCTAAATTGTCCGTAGGTGGGAAAGGTTGTTGTTTATGTGTGCCCTGCGATTGGCTGGCACCCAGCATGCCCACGACCCTCGTGAGGATAAAGCTGTTCAGAAAATGGATGGGTGGATGGATAAATTCACATTATACATGTATAATGTGAATTTAAGAAGTAAAAGATTAAAAAGGACAACAAGTGGTTGTTTGTCACAAAGTGAAACGCATTTCCTTAAAATATGGTTTATCTGAATACAAGATTATTCTACAGAATATTCAGTAGGGTCCTCGAATACTGAAATATTCAATACTTACAGCCCTACAGCAACCATTTTATGGATTTTGATTGTTGAACAAAAACCTTGCTACAGGTCCCCGGGATTAACCTGCCAAAAATGTTCTCCTCAAAATTAATAAATTGCTCCTCAAATGAGGTTCCTGATTATGAAAACTGCTCTTCAAAGAATAAGGTTATTTTCAGCCATGCATTCATACATTCATGACCTTTGGACAATTTAGAGTAGTGAATGAAACTAACATCCATGTTTTTTGGAATACAGGAGGAAGCTGGAATACCCAAAGAAAACCCAGGCAAGCATGGGGAAAACATGCAACTCCACACAGAAAGACCAGAACCCGGATTTGAAACCCCAACCTCAGAACTTGCGGATTTGCCATCCAATTGACCCACAAATTAATTTATGAAATAGAAAATATCAGTTTGAAAAGGAATAAAATTATGCATGGTTCTGAAAATAAACAAGCTTTCTGTAACACAGCAGTCAAATTCCTCACCTCCCTCTGACCATCCACTTGACCCTGTGTAACCAGACTGCAACTGACTGACTTTGGACTGGGAAAACACTAAATGATTGATTACTAGATAATTCATGTGGTTTGTTCTTTGACTCAAGTTTTATTTGCAACTGCACTTTATCCACGACAAGTAAATATATATAAAAGTGCGAAAAAAATCGATAAAGCATAAATGAGATTAAATCAAAGTATAAAATAGCTTGTGGCTATTCACTTTTTAAAACCAGCTGACTGACTTTATTTCTCAGAGGCCATCTCCATGAAAGAGATTAACTACTTATCTAAGTCATGCGGCAGTGGACACGTTGCCTTTTCCCATGCGAAACTGAACAAAACTCTTATTCAAAAGAGACATCCAGACAAGCTTGTAAACCAGATCTGTAAAAATAAATCAATATCACGATTGTGAATGATCTGGGTGTATATACTGTATAGGTGCTTTGTACAATAGTAATTTTTGTCTTTAGGTTGAAACACACAATTCAACAACACAAGAGACTTAATTGACTACCTATTTTTCCTCATTACACAATTCATACATATTAAGAGTAGAAGAAATATTCGATTCTTGAAGGAGAAGTCAACCCTAAAATTGTTTTTACAATAGCATGGTCATTACACCCCGTTAGTCTAAACACATTATTCAAATTGATTTTGCATTTCTTGAATATGAAATGAGCAGCAAATGTTTTTATCCAACTGAATGTCGGTCATTTTGTAAAATGACCTTGCCATACAGCGCCTGCGGGCTCAAGCAATGACCAATCACGGCCCACCTGTTTTCTGAGTTTGGTCATGTGATGTTCACAAGCTGAGGAAGGTATTAGTGACTCTCAATATCGCTGTATTTGTGAACACAGCCTGAGTTTGTTACTCTTATGTTTTTTTTTAATTAATCTATTTTATTTATAGTTCTACATTTGAATGTCACTGTTCAATATTTTTTGAGTACCGTACTTGCTTTTAAAAAGTTATACACCGTAATTTTCGGACCTCACAAACAGCCACAAAAGCTAAATTCAGTCATAAAAACACATTTGTGCATACATTTTCTGGTGCGTATTAAGAATTGTGTGTCTCCACATTACAAGATGGGATATCTGTAAAGAAAGGGGTCACACAGGTTTTTAAAAACATTTCATTTCCCTTCAACACCGGTAAATGTCATTTTCTTTCAAACAATCCCGAATACAGCCAGTTACACAGTGGCATCCCCGGAATCTCTCCCAGTCACACGTGTCACATGAGACCAATTTGCAGAAGAGCTTCATCAGGCAGCAGTGCAGCCTTTGGAAATCTGTCTTATATGTGTTTGAGAGAGACAGAGCACGTCACTCCAGGGCCAGAAATGCTATCTTCCATGGCTAGCCGTTAGTGCCTGTCGACAGTTGCCAACGATGTTGGGAGTTGGTTCCGAAACAAACAACAGAGACAGAGGTCACACTGCAGAGATGGCTGTATTTTTAGCACTCGTTCACTATGCAGATGCTTACTTACGCTTTACTATATATTCTATATTTGCTCCTACCCAACCAATTACCGCTACGCATGCAGATTTCCGCATTTCAGGCACCCCGCATAAGCACTCCAACGGCAAATGGCTGATGAATATTCAGAATGAGGGCAGACTTGGACAGTTTCATCGGTCCACTGTGACTCGTTTGCTAATTTCATAGGTAAGATGTGAGGAAACCTTAGTGAAATCTATTGACGGCTTGAATGTTGTCAGTAAACATTCATAAATAAACAGTGTCACATTAAAGGCTGGATGGTTGAGAGCGTAGGAAAATACTGTGGTTCACACCAACACCAGCCGCAATAAATAAATAAATAAACCAGTATTATCGTTTATAATGATAGTTTTTGTGAAAATATATCATTCTAAAAATGTAAAAATATGCTATTGGGACAGGCCTTGGGGAGTGGCCTATGCCCATCAGATGTAGAGTGGAAATAGCTGAGGATGATAAGAACGACAACTTCATGAACGTTCAAGTCATAACCAACACTGGACACAGAGCATTTCAAGTCCCAATATTTTTGAATTAGTTAGCAGTCTTGTGGGATTCTGATTGAAGGAAATAATGTTATGATGATCACGTTTTAGTTAATCTTTTAGCAGTCAATATAGCCTCAATAGACAGGCAGCAATTTTGTAAAAAAATAATGACAATAAAATTAAATTAAAAAAAAAAGACTCAGTCTCTAAAACCGTGGTATTGAATGCAATGCTGCGGAAAATGTGTACTTAAATTACCAAAGAAAAAAAGTTTTGCGCACTAGTGCTCCCAGTGCATAAAGTTCATCTCCAGCCCTATTCAATCTAATCTTGAAATCCATCAACCATACATCCATCAATTTACTGTACGGCTTATGTGGAGCCTATCCCAGCTGACATTTGGTGAGGAACACCCTGAACTGGGCGCCAGCCAATCACAGCGCACAAACAGTACAGACAAACAACTATTCACGGTCACATTCACACCTACAGAAAACTTCAATTGGTCATCATTCTTGGCCGAGCAAATCACACAAGGAATTTGTCTTTGGTAGTATGAGCATTAGTATTGCAGTAACAAGCAACTATGACAAAACAAAGAAATGACAAATAAGTACAGTCAATCTTTCAGTAACGTAAGGGCACCATTTGTGGAGAAGTACCACCCAGTGACAGCTGTACAACAATACGGACAGTCATCAAGCAGCAATAAAGTGACCAGTGGTGCGGTAAATACAATAAAATAATGGTTGTGCAGATGATGCAGATCATGGTTGCACTATTTAAAGTGACCAGCAGCACTAGCAATAATTGTTTTGCAACTTTGGGTGTGCAATGTTGCAGAAAAGCCCTTCAGTGCTTTTAAGTGTTTCGTGCTGAGGAATGTTGATCGACAGCTGTAACAAGTATGTAGAGAGCTACAACTACAAGGATAGATCAGTACCGTAAGACAAAATACTAAGAACCGAAGAAATATGTTTTTGGAATGTGGGAGGAAGCTTGAGTACCCGGAGAAAACCCATGCAAGCAGGGCGAGAACAAGTAAGCTGCTCATTTCTTCATTCTCTCATAAGTAAGACATGGAGAAGCTAATCCTTTGTAATATGTTCAGAGGTTGAAGTGAGCATAAGTAGAGATGGCCACATAAATTTTGGGGCTGACTGGTTGCCGTTTTCAGAAATGTTAGTAATTATGTGTAATGATTTTGGATGGACCTCCACTGACTACTACCGAGACATAGAAAGAGGCGGAGAGACGTGGCTATGTTGCTGACTAGAAAAGGGTGTTTCGATAGAGGTAGTTATTTACTGATGTCTCGGAAAGTAATAGATGAAATTGAAAATGCAAGCTAATATAATTTTCTTGATCAAAAAATAGTTTTTGAGCAATAACTGGGCCATCCCGACCGAATGATCCCTTTAAAAGGATAATAGGGCCACAGTGTTCGTTAGTTGCTGTGGTAGTAAAATTTAATGTTTCAACTCTTTACTGTCATTTGGTTTGCTTTTTAAAGTTGTTCTCTTTTGTAAAGTGGGCTGTGTTTGTGTCGAGGTGGGGAGGGGGGTATTTTGTTTTGTTTTGATTGTTTTTAGAGGAAATGCTGTGGCCTACCCTCTGCAATCCCATGCCTTGATATAAGGAATAATGATAGTTGAAAAAGATGAGCCATTCAAGCACCCAACGTACACTCACATCTCCACGCTGGAGCCAGTCTTTGAGAGCCTCTGCTGTTTCGGTGGGCAACTGTGCTCTGAGGCGCTTTCTGTCTTCCTGGTTCGGCTGAAGCTCCAAAGCAAGTTTGAGGTCTACAGCCAACTGAATGACCTGCAAAGGGCCGGAGCTGACGACAGAATCAAGGTCATACATGCCATTAGTGAGTTCCAGCGCTGCTGCTTTTGAACCTGAAGGTGAATGTGGGAGACAACAAGAAGAAAAAAAAAAAAAAAAAAAAAACTTTCATTACTTGGGTACAACTGAAATAAATTGTAAAGAGACTGACCGGTAAGAGGTCTGTATAACTTCAAATAGTGTTTAATCAGAGCAAAGCACTCAGAAGACATTAGTAAAAAGCTTATACTTGAACAAACTTGCATAAATTTACTAAAGAATTTTTAATGTGAGTGTGAAAAGATCATGCTCCACAGAACAAAACAATGAGTGATATATTTTGGGGCTAAGGCATAATATTGGTCATTAATAAAGTAAATTCATGAAATATTTTTCACTTTTTTTTCCAATATTGCATTTATTTTAGATTTTTATTTCCCTTTTTTGGACAGGATTTTTGCCTCATTTAACCCAAATCTTCATTTTGGGTTAAGACAAAGAAAAAGGGCAGCACGTTGGCCTCACAATGCAGAGTTTGAAGACTGCGACCAAGTCGATCACGAGGGATGCAGAGGGAGAGAAAAAAATAACGTACACAACAGCTTGCTCAGCCTATCAGGCTCATGCTCGCAATTTTTTTCAATTTTTTAAAATTCTCAATCATGGGAGGTTGGATGCTTGAAAAGTAGATCTTGGGTTTAAAAAAAAAAAAAAAAAAAAAAAAAGTTAAATCTTGGTGACGAAAACTGCAGATGTCAAAGTAAACAACACATTTTACAGATGTGCAACTACATATAGTATTCAGGCATATACTCATACTTTAAATTAATACAATAAATTAAACTGATAGATCATCTTGAGAATGAAGCTTTTTAGTCCCCATAAGTCATTTAAAAATTGGAACACGACATGACAACATTTTCACAAACCCTGAATAAAAGTTATTGCTAGGCAGTTCCATACCGGCAATGATGTCATCCATCTGCTCCAGAGCTGCCTCGAGCATGTGACTAGCCTCAGTTTCCATGGTAATGGTGGTTAGCATTAGACCTCAAGAAATTTATCTGCACAGAAGACAACAGTGACGAAGTTATTTGTAAAAATTGCTTTCTATAAGATGTTGGTACACAGTGATGAGGATGCTGTTTATTATATATATTCTTATAAAAGAAAGGAAAAGCCTGAAACTGAAAAAAATAAATCACAGGAATGACCACACTTCTAATATCCACTTTGGCATCATCCATTTGTCCATTTGTCCAGAAGTCCAAGATGGCGCCCGAGTAGGCAGCCATCTGCAAGTGCTCTGATGAGCCTTGCTTTTTTTGTTGTTTTTCTGTTTGTTTTGTCACTTTGTGTTTGTTGTTACGTCGTGTGGACCTGATGTGGACTGTTTTCAGCATTTTTTGGCCACAACATTCATCAAGGAGGAGACTCGGTGCTTGGTGGTTTTGCCTTCTCGGCAGCATGGGTATGCCAGCACTGTTTTTGATTTGGAGGAATGTCGGCGCCATTTGACTGTCATTGCTGGACAGCTCCGGGGGCGCTTGTGTCTTGCGCCTGTAATGGGCAGCATTTTCACAGCCCCGCTTTGTTCAGCGGAGAGATCGGTGCTGTTGAACGGTCTGCGGCTGGATGGATGCAAGGCTTGAGGAGCCGACGATGAGAAGAAAGGAGCGTTAGCGCAGAGCGCCGATGCGGATGTGGAACCGGGAGTCGCGGCTTGGAGTTGAAGCGGATTACGTGGGACAGGAGTAGTGAACTAATCTCTTTTTGTCAATGGACGCTACAGCTTCGTGTTTGCTTTCAAAACTTAGCTTGTAGCAGACGTGCATATTTTCAGCATGACGTCTCTGATCCACTGGTAAAAGGACACTTTGATCCTCTCCTCTTTCATCTATAACTGCTTCAGACAACAAAGTGTATGCAGGAAAGTGGTGAAGATTGCACGACTGTCTGTGTCCGATGTGTTGTGTTGTGTTATTTTGACTTCAAGATGGCGCCGCGTGAGTGGCTGCCTTTCCAGCAGCTCCTATATTTTGTTGTTCTACTTCTTCCATTCATAACTTTGCTGCTGTGAATTGGGAATTTCTCCATTGCGAGACTAATAAAGGTTTTCTTATCTTATCTTATCTTATCCATTTTCTACACCGCTTACCCTCGTTTGAGGTAAGGCCATTGGAAATGAGCTGGTTTTTCCACACTTTCTATGCATCACTAACCACTTTAATGTGTTGAAAATAGCCTGAGAGCAAATCTATTAATGCTCTCAACGCCGGCTGAGAAGTGTAAACCGTCGATTGTTTCCTGACTCTGGAGACCCGTGCCGTGTAAATGTTACCTAGAATCAAAGTCTGGATGTTTTTTCATAAAACGAGTGAAAACGGGTTGGATACGTTTGAGTAGGCTTCTTTGGTTAAAAACTATCAGTGTAATGCTTCTTTGCAGAAAGAAGCTTGTGAGACACTTAATTAGCAGATTAATATGTGGCTGATTCAGAGTGTTTATCAAACCACTGTTTTATTTAATGCATCACTCATGGCTCTGAGACTTCTGGGGAAAAAAAAGTTTGACAACACAGTGGTTTGCGTTTCTGAAGTAGTAAAGGCTTTCTGGACAGTAAGGGACTGGGGATGAGCACAGACTGTGATGTGGACTGGGTACCCGGCAACATATTCTCAACCCTTTTAATCAATGACAGCATAAGCAATTAATTATTTTGTAGCATCTTAAATAAGCAACTAAACATGATACATATATATATATATATATATATATATATATATATATATATATATATATATATATATACATATACATACATATATTGGCGCATATATGCAAAGAGACGTTTATATGAATTTCTTTCCCAAAATTGCAGGTTTACATAGTCTCTCTAAAGGGTACGAGTGCCTGCCAAGAATGATCCTCATAAACTTAGGGGAAGTGTCTATTCTTGCCATCTGTGAGATTTCTCCGTTGGCAAGCAGCAAAAGCATCCACCTGTGTGTGAGAAAGAAACCTGATGGAAGACAAGCCAGTCTCTCGTGAGCCTGACAAGGATTCTCTCATAATTAAACACTTTCATCATCTTTTTTTTTTTTTTTTCTTTCCCTTTTCAC